TCAATGCATCTGGTCATCATACCCCTTCCATCATTTTCTTCCATCTTTCCCCACTCAACATTCATATGAGTTTGTTCTTATCTTGTCAAATACTGTTCCTTTTTTTTTTTTTTTTGGGTCCGGTCGTGGAGCCTGAACTCTGGGTTTGGGTGCTGTCCCTCAGCTCTTCAGCTCAAGGCTAGCACTCTACCACTTGAGCCACAGCGCCACTTCTGGCTTTTTTCTTTTTGCTTATGTGGTGCTGAGGAATCGAACCCAGGGCCTCAGGCATGCAAGGCAAGCGCTCTACCACTGAGCCACCTTCCCAGCCCACTGTTCCATTTTTAAAAATCTCTTCTGTGCTTTCAAGTATACGTATTTTGCACCTCTTATGTGTCACACGTATTTCCTTTCCTTCCCTTCCCTTCTTTATTTCCTTATTTTTTTCTTTCATCTTTGTTTCTTTTGCAGTATTGGGTTTTGAACTCAGTGTCTTGTATTTGCTAAGCATGTACTGTATCACTTGAGCCACTCTGTAAGCCTCCTTTGTTGTGTGTTTTGGTTATTTTCTAGATGGGGTCTTGCTTTGTGTCTGGGATGGCTTGAGCAGTTGTCCTCCTATTTGTCCTTTCCCACACAGGCATGCACTACTGTGCCCAGCCATTGCTCCTGTAGCTGATATGACAGGCATGCACTTCCTCACCCGGCCATTGATTAAGATGTATTCCTATGAAGTTTTTGCGCCCCTCCCCCCACCTTCCAAAGAGCTGGATTATAGGCTTGAGCCATGTGTCTTGCTGAGGTTTCCATTTTCCTGTTTTCTTGGTACTTTGGTTTTGAAAGATTTTTGACCTGCTTTCTAATTTATCAGTCATTTCTGCTATATCTAACCTGTTGTTCAACCCTTTTAAAATATATTGAGTTCTTCAGTAATTATATTTTACAGTTCTAAAAATGCCATTTGATACTTCAAAAAAGTGTATTCTAAATCATGGTGAACATATCCAACCTTTTATATAGTATCTCCTCTTTTTATAGTTTTAGTTTATAGTCAAATTCTTTACCAATTTAAAATATGTATTACTCTGGTTTTTTTTTTTGTGTGTGATCTGTTTCCTATCCTTTGGTCTATGTTTTAGAATTCCTGATAAATTTTGACTGTGTACTCTATATTTTGAATGAAACATTGTAGATAGTGTGGATGATATTTTCTTTTAGGGAAATTGTCATTAGGCAAGCATATTGAATAACTGTTATTTTAATCCAATTAGAGACTGAGTTGTCCCTATGTAAGCTATGTTTTATAGGTAGATGTCTCTTTCTAGGATGTAGTTTCTTGGGATTTTAGCTAAGAGCCTAGGGTGTTTTCAGTGACTTACCCCTCTGGTTAGTAGAGATACCTTATGTTTCTTGTTTCATAACTATGAACTGTCAAAACTCCCACTGAAAATTTTTTCTCTGGGAGCTTTCTTTACAGCTTTTTAGCCACCTGTCCTACATTGTTTCAAAACTTAAGAAATGTCTTGGGAAATACCAGACAAGTGGTAGGCTTAGTTTTTTGCTCCTCTCTTCTCACTGGGATCTCTCTTGGATTTCTTATTCTTTTAAAAAATTTTATGGTAAAGCTGGGCACCGGTGTCTCACACCTGTAATCCTAGCTACTCAGAAGGCTGAGATCTGAGGATTGCAGTTAAAAGCCAGCCGGGCAGGAAAGTCCATGAGACTCTTATCTCCAATTAACCACCAGAAAACCGGAAGTGGCGCTGTGGCTCAAGCGGTAGAGCAGCTTGCCTTGAGCTGAAGAGCACAGGGACAGCACCCAAGCCCAGAGTTCAAGCCCCAGGACCGACCAAAAAAACAAACAAACAAAATATATATAAATATATGTGTGGTAAATATGATGTACAGAAGGGTCATAGTTACTAAGTAAGGTAATGAGTACATTTCTTTTTGAACAATGTTACCCCCCTCCTTCATTTTTTCCACTCCCCCCTGCCTGGCTCCCTTCCCTCCCAAGTCATAAAGTTCATTTCCAACATAGTGTCTCGAGATTGTCACTGCTGCATTGGCTCACCCTTTGTCCCACCATTTCTGTAATTCCCCTTCCCTTCCCCAAATCAGATAAACTTACATACAAGACAGTGGATACAGAAATTGTCAGCAGGGAATAAACCAAAGGGGAAAAAAGAAAAAAGGAATAACTGCAAACACTACACTAAAAAAGCCTTGTTTCCATTTCTTGGAGTTCATGTTGATAAGCATCATTTTATATGATCATATGCACATAGACAGTAAGCCATTGTGATATTCTGCTAAGACTATCTTAGATATATTCTAGTTATTACGGCTGAGGGAAACCATACAGCCTGTGCTTCTTTCAGTCTGCCTTACTTTGCCTAATAGAATTTTTTCCAAGTCTTTCCACTTCTTAACGAACGGGGCAATGCCATTCTTTCTGATGGAAGCACAGAATTCCATTGTGTATGTATAACACATTTTCTTGATCCATTCATCTACTGAAGGGCATTTGGGTTGCTTCTATATCTTAGCTAGGGTAAATAATGCTGCAGTGAACATGGTTGTGCTGGTAGTTTTAGTGTAGCCTTGTTTGTGATCCTTTGGGTAAATACCCAAAAGTGGGATTGCTGGGTTATAGGGGAGCTCTGTGTTTAGTCTTTTGAAAAACCTCCATACTGCTTTCCAGAGTGGTTGAACAAGTTTACATTCCCACCAACAGTGTAGCAGTGTTTCTTTTGGCCACATCTTTACCAGCATCTATTATGATTAGTTTTCTTGATAATGGCCGTTCTAACTTGGGTGAGGTAGAACCTCAATATTGTTTTGATTTGCATTTCTTTTATGGCAAAGGATGTTGAATGTTTTTTAATGTGTCTATTGGCCATTCTTATTTCTTCTTTGGAGAAGTTTCTCCATAAGTCTGTAGTCCACTTATTAATGGGGTTGTCATTTCTTTGAGGATTTGTTTTTCAGGGGTTTAATTTTTTTGGTTTTAAGTATATTTTAGATATGAGGCCCTTGACTGATATATAGTCAGTAAAGATCATCTCCCAATCTGTGGGCTTTCTGTTGACCAGATCTCTCATTCTTGTCTTTCTAGTCCCAAAAAACTTCCCAAAGCTCTGCTGGTGTTTTTCTAAACTTCTTTCAGCAACTTTCTGTTGAGACGCTTTGCTTGGATCCCCCAGTGTTTACCCCAATGGCACATGACTCAAGGGGATAGTGGAATTTTGGCTGACCTTTCTGTCTTTTCTAAGATTTTTTTTCCCCTCAATTCTTAGTTGTATCATCAACTCTATGAAGCCTATCAACAGTGTATGTGTGTATTGTGTATGTTTGTATTATATATAGCCTTTTAAATTGTTTTCAGTGAAAACGTTGGTCTGAAGTGCCAAACCTTAATCAACAGTGTATGTGTGTATTGTGTATGTGTACTTGTATTATATATAGCCTTTTAAATTGTTTTCAGTGAAAACATTGGTCTGAAGTGCCAAACCTTAATATAGCTAAAAGTGAATGGGTGCCTGAAGTATTTTAAGTATACAAAAATTGACATATATTTTCTGCTTCAAGTCACTGGCTTTTCAGTTGGAATAAAATTCAAACTCTAGCATGTCTTATAGGGTCCTTGGATTGTTCTTGCCTTATTCTTCAACATTTTGTATACTATCTTTATGTCCACATTTTGGCCATATTGACTTTTTTAAAAAAAACTTTCTCTATCATTTCAAGAACTTTCCTGAATCAGCCCTATTCCTTCTGTATGAAAACCCATCAACTACTATACAGTTATTTGTTACAGTCAATATTTGACTATATGTATAATAGTGGTCCCATTCTACCATCTAATAAAGTTTGAGCCATCTTAGTTTGTATATGTGATGCAATGTTCACACAGTGACTGAATCATCTAGTAATGCATTTTGCAGAATTTATCCCAATGCCTGTTGTTAAGCAATCCCTGTTGATAGTATTTTTGAAACTAATTTCATGTCTGAAGGTCTTTTTGCTAATAGGTGACTTCTTTGTTGTTTGTTGAGATGAAGTCTCAATATATAGTCTATAATGGCTTGGAACTTGCTCTATAGCCCAGGCCAGCTTCAAAATTCTCCTCCTTCTCTTCCCTCAGTTTCTCTAATGTTATGATAATAAAGGTGTGTGTCACAACACCCAGAAGTGGGTGATTTATGATTCCAAGTTGAGAAACAAAAGTGTTTTAACCTTCAAGATTGACAACAATAAAAATGTCTGAAAAATAGGAAGTGTTGGCAAGGATGTATAGTAGAGAAATTTCATACTTTACTAGTGGGATTGTAAACTGGTAAACCACTCTAGAATAGTTTCATCATGTATTATTGTGGACACATTTACATCCCTTGCTTTTGTCATTTTCCTGATGAGTATATATTAGAGAGACTCTAGTCTACCAAAACCTTCTACAAGAATATTTATAAGCCAGGAACTGGTGGCTCACACCTGTAGTCCTAGCTACTCAGGAGACTGAGCTCAAGGATCATAGTTCAAAGCCAGCCCAGGTAAAAAAGTCCCTATGAGCCTCTTATCTCCAATTAACCAGTAAAAAACTGGAAGTGGAGGTGTGGCTGTAACTAGTAGAGCACTAGCCTACTAGCCTTGAACAAAAAATGAGCTCAAAGACAGTGCTTGGGCCCTGAGTTCAAGCCCCACAACTGACCCCCCCCAAAAGAATATAATTATTCACCAGATGAAGAACATAAATTTGAAATCATGAATGCATGTATCAACAATCCAGTAGGTAAATAAGTTGTGATACATTTACAGAATAAATTAACTGTTCAGGGCTGGCTATTAAACTTGAGTCATGCACCCAAACTTCTTGGAGAGCTTATTAAAACATTGCCTTAAATCAAATTTAGATATCATATAGTTTATATAATATATAATGCTATATTTTCAAATCCAGAGGCTGTATAATTTCACCAATAAATACTTTTGGGGCAAGAGAATACATACATGAAATTCTTTTTTTTTCATGTTGACTCTGTACAGCAACAACTGAATGCCATGTATCAGCTGTGCAACACAAAGAGCAAGGAATTGTTTTGTACTACAGCATAACCAAAAATCTGGAAAATCCAATCATAGGTTTAAATATAGTGCTGAAATACATGCAATTCTATACATATGAAATGTTGAAGTGGACAAATGATGTGCAAGAGACAAAAGGATGTGCAAGAAAGACAATAAAAGAAAAAGGGAAGGAAATGGGCATAATGAGAATGAGGAAAATGATTATTTCTAGTGATCAGAGACATGCTTCTGAGCTGGCTCAATGCTCTGTTCATGATCAGGGAGTTAATTACATGAGGGGTTACTTTAAAATGATTGTACATCTTAGACACTTTTCATCATAAACATTTTGTTATGTACTGAGAGACAAAAGTACTTATTTGATGACATCTCTTGAAGTGTATCTGGATCCATATCAGATGTGTGATTGATCTAAGCCAATGCAGTTATTGCTTCAAGGGTATCATCAGCCATTTATGTTTAGCTTCATGCGTGAGGGAAGGGATCAGCTTTGGATGGTTCACAGTTACAGGAACTCATCGGGCTTATTTCCAAGGGCCATAATGTTTAGTTCTGACTGGTGTCTGGATGAAACTCTGCTTCTTTGCCAGATACAATGACTCACTCCCTTCAATGATCTGTAGTTTTTCTGTAGGCTTTTATTCTGCTGTGATCAGCAGTGCAGAGGCATTCTGGCTTCTCCAGATCACCTTGCTCTTCGAAGGAAATCATCTCTGCTCATCTCTAATATTAATTCGCAGCTTGTTGGTACATTTTAGGAATTGAACAAATCCTCTTTGGTATTTGCTGAGGGAAGGTGAGAGGGAGGAGAAGAAACATGTCTTATGACTGTATTTTGGGAAGACAACACTTTAATTTGTCTTCTTATGTTAAGTAACAGGAAGTAATACCTTAGGAAAATGGTTGTCACTAATAGATTCTTAATGCTATCTTTGACATAAACTAAAACCTCTTGATTCTCCTTGTAGCATTAGCAGGATTTTCTGCTTTTGACTGGGGATGTGGTTGCTGGGAGTAAAGTATTTTCTAGTGACCCTTGAAATTAGATGTGGTCATATTACTAAGTTTTGGTCCAAGAGATGATAGTAGAGATACAATATTTTGGCTTTCTGAAACTTCCTTCAAGACACTTGTGTGTGTATTCTTCTTTTTTGTCCTTCTATCTTGTGAAATATAAACAGATGACTAAAGCTCTGGCCATCCTCATCCAGATGGATAACAAGTTCCATTATTAGGAAGGAGGAAGAGTGTGCCGAAAGGGTAGTTTGGATGCTGGAGAAAGGCTTATCGGAATCTTGAGATTTTACTGTTGAACAAAAACCATTTGTTGTTTATCATGTGCAGCTGAGTTCAGTGCCATCTACAAAACCTCAGGATCTACGTCTTCCTTATGTGCTTGTCTGACAGAGCACATGCGTGGCTATCACTGTGTCATTCTCTTTAAGGAACCCTTCATGGTTGATGCTACCATCTTTTTTCCTCTTCCATGGCTCCCATACCAATATTGGTATCTAGTTACTGTACTAGACATTTGAGTGTCATTTTCAAAACTTCCTACCAAAACAACATACGTACGCAATCACCAAGTCCCAATGCTCTTTTCTTCATCACCTCCCCATCATTTCCCCCAGCTCAACTCAAGTCCCCATTGTCTTTTGGCTGGGCCATTCAGAGTAGCCTATTAGGACATTTCTCTGTCTCTCTCCTTAGACCCTTAATGTGGAGTTTATAATATTTTCTATGTATTAAAATGACTTGGACAAGTATAGTTGAGGCCCTGGTTTTGAGATCCTAATTGGTCTAGGTAGACCTGGGCATTGGTATGTTTGAAAATGTCCCCCAGTTGATTTTAGTGTGTCTCCAGAGAGGAATCCTTGAGATAGGATATTCATTTAAGTATGAAAACGTACCTATAGTTGCTGAACTTAGGCACATATTATAATCACCTGTGATTTCTCTTTTGCCTCCAAACAAGAAAACTTTGGCTGTACCCAAGACCAATTAATTCATGATCTCTGAAGTAGAGATTCATACATCAGTTTTGGGCACTATTAGATTATTCTACTCTCCTGAATCACACTCCTTGATGGGTTCCTATGCTCTCTTGGTATAAGATCCTAAATTTTCATTGAGCCTCCAAAGTATCACATGACCCAAGCTTGTGGCCATCTCACTGAAGCAGAGGTGGCAACTTTTGCTTCCATAAGGAGCTAGATACTAAATATTTCAGGCTTATGGGCTTTATAGTCTTGGTTATAAGTCCTCAGCTCTGCCATTATGGTATGAAAGTAGCCATATCTGTCAGTGTATGGGTTACTGTGTTCTAATCAAACTTTATGTAGACTGAAGTTGGAATTTACTATGACTTTTTACCATATTAACAAATAATATTCTTTTTTATCTTCTCAGTTACTTTAAAACATAAAAAAAAATCCTTAACTGGGAGGCTGAAAACAAAAACTGATTTGGCCTGGTTGACCTTGTTATTTGTGAACTTTTACCCTAGATTCAATTCTTATTCCCCCCACCAACCTACTTCTTCTTTCATGTTTTGGCAACTCTGATCTTTCACTTCCTGGACATTTTTATATTAAGGACCTTCACAGATCTCTTCGTTTCCCCTGTGGGATATTTTTCTGCCTCTTTGGCTATTAATTCTTATGGCTCTTCAAGCAGGTCCTCCATTAGATGTTACCATTTCGTGGGAGCATTCCTGGAATCCCCAGACTATCTTAAACAGTCTTATAACACCCTGTACTTTTTCTTCCCAGCAATCACCTCAATTTGTAATTAATGGATTGTGAAATTAACTGTAATGAATTCATGATTCGTGGGATTATCTATGTAATCTACAGGGCTGAGCCTTGGCCTGTCTTGTTGGAGACTGTTGGCCAACAGGAGAGTACCTGGCATGTAGTAAGTGTCAGTTGTCTTTGTGAGTTAACTGTGGAAAGGAAAGGAAAGGGGAGAAGAAGGTAAGAAACAGTGCTGCAGATCCCAAATCTATACATCACACCTTACCTTCTTACTCTACAAAATACTCCACTTGGTGACACTGGAGAATTTACTTGGGAGGATAAATTAGCATCAGGAGACTGGTGAAAACAGAAGCAAGGTGTAGGCAGTGGAATTAAACCCAAGGAATGGTACCATTGTCAACTGTTAATTGGTGAGACATTTGCTGCTTTCTACACGTGTGCACAACACTGGCCTTAACAAAGTTGCCAATGGTGTGAAAGCATTAGGAGGTTGCAGCCAGGAATCAGCTCTTATCTTCATAGTTGTGCCTTGGAATAGGATGAAAAAAAAAAAAAAAAACCTCACAGCTCTTTTTCCTTCAGTGAATAAACACATTTTTTGATGAAGCTCATGCATCCAAGAAGGAAAGCCAGAGTGTCAGGTACAAAGGCAAAACTCAAGTAAGGAGCATAACTGTAAGGAATGATACAATTCACTGATGGTGTACTATGTGTCAGGCCCAGTATAAAGGGCTTTACATTGATTCATTTTAGCTAATCTTCATGACTCTGGATGGTTCTTATGCCTGCATAGTGAGGACTAGAAGGCAGATGGAGGTCTCTAATAACTTATTCAGACACACAGTAAAGAAGCAGAATCAAATTTTTTGTTATTTTATTAACAGTTATTAATTGTCGGAAGTGGCAGTTTCTTTCTTTCTCTCTCTCTTTCTCTCTCTCTCTCTTTCTTTCTTTCTTCCTTTCTTCCTTTTTTATTGTGAAAATACCACAGACGGGTTACAATTACATGGGCAAGATAATGAATGAGTACATTTCTTATCAAGCATTGTTGCCTCCTCCTTTGTTCCCATCTCTTCCCATCTCCCCCCTTTCCCCCACCCCCCCACCGCTAAAGTTGTAAAGTTCATTTTTCAACATAAAGATTTGTACATCTCATTGTTGCAATGGGTCCACCTGTATCCCTATTTAAATTATTTGTTTTTTCCCTTCTCTTCCACAAATTATACCAACATCAAATACAGTGAAAACAGGGGTTATACAATGGGGGAGGGATATACAAAGCAACAAAGAAATCATAAATATGTTAGAAACAATTGCATGAAAGAAAAAAACATTTGAATACTTATCTTGGGGTTCATTTCACCTAACATCAACTTATCTGACCTTTTCTGCTTGTCTCAGACATATACTAGTTATTGCAAATAAGGGAAAACATGGGACCTATGTTTCTGGCTTACTTCACTTAATATAATTTTTTCCAAGTCTTTCCATTTCCTAACAAATGGTGCAATGTCCTTCTTTCTGATGGAGGCATAGAATTCCATTGTGTATATATACCACATTTTCTTGATCCACTCATCTACTGAGGGGCATCTGGGTTGGTTCCATATCTTAGCTATGGTAAATAATGCAGCAATAAACATAGTTGTGTTAGTAGCTTTAGTGTGGTCTTGTTTGTGATCATTTGGGTAAATGCCCAAAAGTAGGATTGCTGGGTCATAGGGGAGCTCTATGTGGAGTCTTTTAAGGAACCTCCATACTGCTTTCCAAAGTGGTTGAGCAAGTTTACACTCCCACCAACAATGCAGTAAAGTTCCCTTCTGTCCACATCCCTTCCAGCATCTATTGTTGTTAGAGTTCTTGATTATAGCCATTCTAACTGGGGTGAGGTGGTATCTCAAAGTTGTTTTGATTTGCATTTCTTTTATGACTAGAGAGGTTGTGCATTTCTTCATGTGTCAATTGGCCATCCTTCTTTCTTCTTCAGAGAAGTTTCTCTTTAAGTCTTTAGTCCACTTATTTATTGGGCAGTTGTTTCTTTGAGGATTTATTGTTGGGGGATTTAATGTTTTGAGTTCCAAGTATATTTTAGATATGAGACCCTTGTCCGTTGTATGGCCAGTGAAGATCTTCTCCAATCTGTGGTCTTTCTATAGATCTTGCTAGCTATGTCCTTTGCCATGCAAAGCGCTGCAATTTCATGCAATCCCATTTGTCTAACCTTTCTTTGATTTGTTGTGTTTCTGAGTCTCTATTAAGAAAATTTCAGCCTGCTTCAAGGAGACCTAGAGTTTCTCCTATTCCATCCTGTAATGTTTTCAGAGTGTCCACTTTGACTCCGAGGTCTTTGATCCATTTGGAGTTGATTCTGGAGCAGGGTGATATATAAGGATCTAGCTTTAGTTTTCTACAAGTGATTATCAATTTTGCCAGCACCATTTACTGAAGAGGCTGTCTTTCTTCCATTCTATTTTTTTTAGCTCCCTTATCGAAGATTAGATGGCTATAGGTCTGTAGGTTCATTTCTGGATTAATTTTATACCCTGCTACTTTGCCAAAGTTTTGAATCAGTAATTTGGGAGTAGAGTCTGTGGGATTCTTTAACTACAAGATCATGTCCTCTGCAAAAAGGGAGAGTTTTACTTCATCTTTTTTTTTTTTTTATTGTGAACATACTGTACAGAGGAGTTACAATTACATGGATAAGATAATGAGTATGTTTCCTATCAAGCATTGCAGCCTTCTCCTTTGTTTACCTTTCACATCCCTTCCCAGCCTCCCCCAATCCCCCCATCCCCCTATCCAATCCTCCCCCCTCCCCAAAGTTGTAAAGTTCATTTTCGACATGACAACTTGTACTTCTCATTGCTGCAACGGGTCTACCTGTGTCCTTATTTAAACGACTTGTTTTTCCCCTTCCCCTCCACAAATTATATCAACATCAAATACAGTGAAAGCAGGGGTTATACTGTGGGGGAGGGACATACAAAGCAACAAAGAAATAATCTTATAAATGTGTTAGAAACAAATGCATGAAAGAAAAAAACCATTTAAATACATATCTTAGGGTTCATTTTCCTAACATCACCTTATCTGATCTTTTCTGCTTGACTCATACATATACTAGTTATTGCAAATAAGGGAAACCATGGGACCTATGTTTCTTTGGGCTTGGCTTACTTCACTTAATATAATTTTTTCCAAGTCTTTCCATTTCCTAACAAATGGTGCAATGTCCTTCTTTCTGATGGAGGCATAGAATTCCATTGTGTATATATACCACATTTTTTTGATCCATTCATCTTCTGAGGGGCATCTGGGTTGGTTCCATATCTTAGCTATTGATTTTTGAGGATTAATTTTATACCCTGCTACTTTGCCAAAGTTTTGAATCAGTAATTTAGGAGTGGAGTCTGTGGGATTCTTTAACTACAAGATCATGTCCTCTGCAAAAAGGGAGAGTTTTACTTCATCTTTCCCTATTTGGCTCCCTTTTATGTTTGCATCTTGTCTTACCATTGTAGCTAGGCATTCTAATATTAAGTTTAAGAGAAATGGAGAGAGTGGACATCCTTGTCTTATTTCTGGGTTACAAGGAAATGGCTTTAGTTTTTCACCATTAAGTATAATGCTGGCTGTAGGTTTGTCATATATGCCTTTATTGTATTGAGGAATGTTCCATGGATTCCTAATATTTCCAGAACCTTCATCATAAAGGGGTGTTGGATCTTGTCAAATGCTTTTTCTGCGTCTATTGAGATAACCATGTGGTTCTTATGCTTGCTCTTGTTGATGTGATGAATTATACTAATTGATTTGCATATATTGAACCAGCTTTGCATCCCTGAAATGAATCCTGTTTGATCATGGTGTATGATTTTTTGGATGAATTGTTGAAGTTGATTGGCCAAAATTTTATTGAGAAGTTTTGTATCAATGTTCATCAAAGAAATGGGTTTATAGTTCTCATTCTTTGATGAGTCCCTGCCTGGTTTTGGGATGAAGGTCATGATGGCTTCATAGAATGAGTTTGGTAGTGAACTTTCTCTTTCAATTTCATTGAAGAGTTGGAGTATTGGTGTGAGCTCTGCTTTGAAGGCCTTGTAGAGTTCAGCTGTAAAACCATTAGGTTCTGGGCTTTTCTTAGCTGGGAGGTCTCTTATTACTGTTTCTATTTCATGCTTGATATGGGCCTGGGGGCTGGGAAGGTGGCTCAGTGGTAGAGCGCTTGCCTTGCATGCTCAAGGCCCTGGGTTCAATTCCTCAGCATCACATAAGCAAAAAGAAAAAAGCCGGAAGTGGCGCTGTGGCTCAAGTGGTAGAGCGCTAGCCTTGAGCTGAAGAGCTGAGGGACAGTGCCCAGGCCCAGAGTTCAGGCCCCACGACCGGACCAAAAAAAAAAAAAAAGGATGGTTTAACTCATCTTGATTGAGTTTCAGCATGTCAATATTTGCTAGGAAAAGGTTTCTTTCTGCCAAGTTCTCAAACTTATTAGCATAAAGGTTTGAGAAGTATTCCCTTAAGAAGTATTCTGAATCTTGGTTGTTTCTGTGGTGATATTTCCATTCTTATCTCTGAGTTTATTTACTTGGGTGTGTTCTCTTCTTTTTCTGATAAGATTTGCTAAGTGTCTGTCAAATTTGTTAATTTTTTTTGAAGAACCAACTCTTTGTTTTGTTGATTCTTTATATGGTTTTTTTTAGATTCTAATTCATTTAATTCTGATTTAATTTTAATTATTTCTTTCTGTCTACTGGATTGGGGTTTATCTTGCTGCTCTTTTTCAAGGAGGTTCAGATGTCTCATTAAATTGTTGGTTTCAGATTCTCCAATTTGTTGATGTAAGAACTCAAAGCTATAAACTTGCCTCTGAATACTGCCTTTGCTGTGTCCCAGAGGAGCTGGTAATTTGTGTGCTCATTTTTGTTGAATATTATGAACATTTGAATTTCCTTTCTAATCTCTTCCATGACCCATTGGTGATTCAACAGTGTTGTTCAGCCTCCATGTGTTACAGGACTTTCTGTGACGGCTTTTGGTGTTGAGTTCTAATTTTATTCCATTGTGGTCTGAGAGAATGCAAGGTATAAGTTCAGTGTTTCTGAATTTGGACAAGTTTGCTTTGTGACCTAAAATGTGGTCTATTTTGGAAAATGTTCCATGTGCTGCTAAGAAAAATGTGTATTCTAATGCTGCTGGGTGAAATATCCAGTAGATGTCTGTTAAATCTAGTTGATCTATGCAGTTGTTTAGATATGCGGTTTCTCTGTTGAGTTTTTGCCAAGTTGATCTATCTAATGTGGATAGTGGTGTGTTAAAGTCCCCAACAATGAATGTCTTTGGATCTATGTGGGATTTGAGGGAAAGTAGTGTTTCTTGGATAAATTTGGGTGCTCCGTTGTTTGGCGAATAGATATTTAGAATTGTAATATCCTCCTGAAAGAGAGATCCCTTAATTAGTATGTAGGGACCTTCTTTATCTCTTCTCACTAATTTTAATGTGAAGTCTATTTTATCTGATATTAGGATTGCAACTCCTGCCTCTTTATGGGGGCCATTTGCTTGGTAGATTTTTGTTCCAGCCTTTCACTTTCAAAATGTGTTTGTTTTTATGGGCAAGGTGTGACTCCTGAAGGCAGCAGATAGAAGGATCTTGCTTTTTAATCCAACTAGGCAGTCTGTGTCGCTTAATTGGAGAGTTAAGTACGTTAATGTTGAGAGATAGGACTGAGAGGTATTTGGGAGTTCTTGCCATTTTATCCACCTTCTTGGGGGCTATGGCAACTGGGTTCTTCCTATGGTTCTTGGATTCTCAGTTTGGGTGTGGTTTCTTGGCTTTTATTGGTCTTGTTGGTTTTCTATGTGTAGGACATCTTTAAGTATATTTTGTAAGGCTGGTTTGGTGGAAATATATTGTTGCAGTTTTTCTTTGCTATGGAAGGTTTTTATTTGCTCTGGGCCTGCCTGGCCAACTTGGTGGACCCATGATCAAATCTAGCAATGTAGTTCTTCATATGTGCAATCTGGTCTTGCTTCCAGTGAAACTTCTTCATCTGGTTTTCCTCCAGCTCCAGCCGTGTCTTCACATACTGATCATAATTACCCCTATAATACTCGAGTTTCTTGTTGTGCATATGGATGATATTGGTGCAGACACCATTCAAGAAATCCTGAGAATGTGACACGAGGACCAGGATATGCTTAAAAGTCTTTAGTTCTTCTTCCAACCACACACAAGCATCTAGGTCCAAGTGGTTGGTGGGTTTGTCCAGAAACAGCATGAATGGCCGGATGAAGAGGGCTCTGGCTAAGGCAACCCTTATCCTCCAGCCCCTACTGAAGTCTTTTACCTACTTGTGCTGCATAGCAGGTGTGAAACCAAGTCCATGCCAAATCGGTAAGGCCCTCATCTCTGCCTTGTCGGTATCCAGCTCCTCCAGGCGCTCGTATAGTTCCATGAGCTTCTCACACTCCGCGTTCTTGTGAGCCAGCCGCTCAGCCTCCCTCTCAAGCATGGCATGCTCTGTGTCCACTTCCATCACACACTGCAAGGGGGTCTTGTCACTAGGGGGCATCTCACAGGTCAGATGGTAGATGTGGATGTGCTCAGGGATGGCCACTTCATGCTTCCCGATTCCATTTAAGCCAATGAGGCCATAATAACGGCCAGAATTTAGTTCCAGTTTGGTGTTGCTGAGCAGCTCCTGACCATGGAAGGTGAGTGAGAGGCTGATGATGTGGACGTCGGTACTATTGGGATGAAAAGCCAGGATGCCAGTGACAGCTGGAGCAGTAGCTTTCTTCATCTCAAAGTCCTCTAGCTCCTTGGTCAGCAAATCCACTTCTGTGGTGTCTCTGCCATTGGCCTCCTTCTTCTCTTCTGCCACCTGTAGTTCTGTGATGGCTTCTCTGTTTTCTTCATGCCCCTTTTTGGGCCACTGTCGAGCTTTGGCAGCTTCTTTTTTTTTAGCTGCCTTCTTCTTGGCCAGGTCGGAGGGCATGGTGTTGAACTACAGGGGTAGGTTACTGTTCCTGCATGCAGTAGAGCCGCGCCGCTTGGCCTCTGTCGCAACAGAGCTGCTCCTTATTTTTTAAATACATTTTTATTGTAAAATTACTGTACAGAGGAGTTACAGTTACATGAGCAAGGTAATGAGTACATTTCCTATCAAGCATTGTTACCTTCTCTTTTGTTTCTCCCCTACCATCCCTTCCTTCCCTCCTCCCACAACTCCACTCTCCCCCCCAAACTCATTTTTCAACACAGTGTCTTGTACATCTCATTGTTAGAATAGGTCAACCTGTTTAAGCATTTTGTTTTTTCCCTTCCCCTCCCCAAATTAGAGAAGTGTATATACAAGATGCAGGGCAATGACATCAAATACAGTGAAAATAGGGGTTATACCATGGAGGAGGAACATACAAAGAAGCAAAAAAAATCACAAGGTACAATATAAATACATTAGAAACAATAGCAAGAAAGAAAAAACCACTTGTGTCCCTATCTTGAGGTTCATTTTGCTTAACATCATCTTATCTAGTCATATGTACATAGCTTTTGACCTTTTTGCCCCATTTGTTAGGGAATGGAAAGACTTGGAAAAAAAACTATATTAAGTGAAGTAAGCCAGGACCAAAGAAATATAGGTACCATGGTTTCCCTTACTTGCAGTAACTAGTATATGTCTGGGACATGCAGAACCAAATTTGATTGGGGTTGGGATGCTCCGGCTTTGATTGCTTCCGGCTTTGATTGCTTAAAACTTTTTCAGCTTTTTTGGTCCCAACTTTGTAAATCCTGCCAAGCATGTTTCCTGCCTTTTAGAGGGGATGCTGATGTTAATAATATTTGTTATGATGATATTCATGTAACTCCATGGTCTTATATGTAAAACCCTTGAGGTCAAGATGTGTTTCAGAATTTAGAACTTTTTGGATTTTAGAAATGTGATTGTGTTGTACATATACATGATATAGCACCTGTAATGGTTAACTTTATGTGCTAAATTGATCTTATTAAGGGATGCCCACCTTGCTAGCAGTTTTTTCTGGGTACATCTATGAAGGTGTTTCTAGAAGAGACTGGCATTTGAACAGATGGCATTTCTGTTCTCATTCAGTGTGGGCAAACACCATCCAATCAGTCCCAATAGAATACCCAGACTTTATTGTCTGTCTCTTCAGGTGCTAGACCACCCTTCTTTTCCTATCTTGGGATACCTAAACTCTGCATTTCTTGTCTTTTGGACTCTGGGATGTGTACCAGTAACCGCTGGGAACCCAGTCCTTTGGCCTTGGCAAAGAGTTATACCACTGGCTTCCTTGATATCTCCTTTCCTCTTTTCTTTATTGGATCTGTCTGTGATGAATTCTGACTAATACAGATAAAGGAGTTGTTCTAGAGGAACAGAATTTTAAAGGTGAGTGTCTTCAATCAGTTTTAGGGGTTCTGGAATTAGCTCTCTAACCTCTATATTAGACTAAAAATACTTATTTCCAGCCCCATAGAGAATGCCCCCCATCAGACACTAGTTCCTTCTGGTGCCTTGATCTTGAACCCTTCCACTTTAGAATTCTGAGAAACAAATTTCTATGGTTTATTATACATTATTCATGATGTGGCATTTTATTATAATAAAAGAAACATCTCTACTAGGGTCTGAGGCACAAAATGGGGAAGTCATAGGTTCTCCCTGGAGTCTCCAGACTGATTGATGTTAGCAGGAATACTTGTATCAGACTCTGACATTGTGTTTAGCAACTAAGTTTATGGTAATTTGTTATAATAGTACTAGGAAACAAATCGAACTTGTTTAAGGAAAGGGTTTGATTTCAGAGCTCTTTGGGTTTCAGATTTATGGATGAGAATTGTGGATCTGTGTTTTATTTTAAACATGGATTAGTTCCTGTGCTAAATTCATTTAGTCCTTGAAATAGTGTGTGTGTGAGAGAATTTTTATTATCTCCTTTTTCACAGATGAGAAATTCAGACAGGTTAACAAATATTGCTCAGGTCATAGATTTAATAAAGGGCAATCCTAGACTTAAAGCTAAATCTGACTTTTACTTTCAGGTCGGTGTTCTTATTCTCAGACTGACTTCAAGCACTTACTGTTTTTCAGATTTGAAGCTTGTGTCTGACCAGTAACTAAGGATGGTCCCTAGCACTGGAGATAAGGATGTACAAGTTAAAGATGAATACCTCCCAGGTGCTTCATAGTCAATAAACCAAAGTTCCCCTTCCCTTCCCTCCCCTCTCCTTCCCTCCTTACTTTTTTGAGGTGCTAGAAGTTGAACCCATGGCCTTGTGCATAGTTGCTGATTGCTCTGTCATTGAACTATAGTCATGAACATTCACTAAACTTCTTGAGATACAGGACATTCATCTATACAAGAGATAATACTAAGCCTTCTTCATATGTTTGTGATAGCTAAATAGGATAGCATGTGGAAAATCGTTCACTACATGCTTTGTCTATACTGGATGCTGATAAACGCGAACCATTACAATTTTAGTATTATTACTGCATTATTGTGCTATTCTATTTAATAAGGAATCTATTTCTTTACACAGAGGAAGTGAATCCCTGCAAGAAAAACATGAACATATCTTATAAGTTGAATCTTGTAGGGGGTAGAATGTGTAGGATAAACTCCATGCTCTGTCATCAGGTTTCCTTTCTCTTTGTTTCAGTGGCTGTTGTGTAGGGTTGGATATTCAGGATACTTGTATCCCAGGTTTTTGGCATATGTTTGTATAGGGGCAGTAGAAAGAAGAGAATCTATTTGATCATCTGGGTGCCAGCTCTTGTGTGGATCTGGGCTAGTTCTCATTCAGGTATATTAGTTAGCTTGGGTGAGAGTTAAGTTAAGGTCATTATGAAAGATCTGATCCACTACTTCATACCTTTAAGGTTCAGTTGTATAATGAGCTCTAATACATAGATCATGCTCATGCTGGAGTGTGTGTGTGTGTGTGTGTGTGTGTGTGTGTGTGTGACAGAGAGAGAGAGAGAGAGAGAGAGAGAGAAAGAGAGAAAGAGTGAAGGAGGAGAGGGAGAGAGAGAGGCAGAGTAAGGGTGGTGGTATCTGGTTGTATGTGGCAGAGGGCAGGCTAGGAGAAAGCAAAAGGGATTTATTTGTGGGCATGAGTGAGATAAGATAGTGAGAAAACAAGCAAATTCTTATTATTTGTCTATTAGATAATTCAAGTGTTGTGGATACAAAGGTGAATAAAGACACAACCTCATCTTCAAGTTTTCAGAATGTTACCTAGTTAAGGGTAAATTAGGATTCTTTTATTCATATATCAGAAAATTTGGAGCTTTAAAATGCTCATTTAGAGATATTACTTTGCAGATAATTGCTGTATGATGTGACCTTTCTTGAAGGCGTTATGAGTCATTTAGCTTCTGGTTGCAAACAATTGGGATGCTTTAGCTCTTCCATCAATAAAACCTAGTATTTTGTGGTCTGTTTTCAAGCAGCCTTTCTGAGCCTGAAGGATTCTTAAGGACTGCTACAAAAGGATGGCCTCTAGGCCAGACATCAAGCATTCACTTTTCTGACGTGTGTTGAAGTTATGGATGCCAGTCTTAGGCTGAGCAGCTGTGGGCCTTTGGGGAACATCTCTAGCACTTCTATTTGGAGAGTGTCATTATTGCCCATTTAGCCATTTGCATTATCATTTTCATCATGGCCTCCGTTGTGATTCAAATTCCTGAGCATTCTATATTTCTGAGCACTCTGATCATATTTCCCACTCTTTGAAACAGAGGCAGCTGGATAGTTCTTTCATCTGGAACATTAGGCAGAACTATCTACCTAAAAGAGGGTATCAATAGTTATGGTGAATCATGGGGAGATTTAAAGGGCAGGCCCCTAATCCAGCCATAAGCAATCTTGTTCAGCTTCCTGAATACTGCAGAATTTTGTTTTAAGACATCTATATGTTTGGCTTAAATGTCTCTTCCAGTCTCAAGAGAAGTCTTTCAGAATTCTTCCTGCTGATGAATGGATTGCCAAGTGGTTTCACAGTTAAGAGTTTTATTGATACTGCAGGCCTCTTACCATTCTGACTTTCTTTCTAGGTCACAAGGATGAAAGTCTTGTATCCACTTCTCAACATATTAATATTACCTTTTCTTGTTATGGGAATTACATGGGATTAATTGATTTAATACTTAAGCATTTATTGATTCTCTAATCTGTGTTAGTTACTCTTCCATATCTTAGAGGAAGCAAAGATGGTACTTGCTCTTTTGGATTTTGTATTTTAGTAAGAAAACAGGGGATAAGAAGATAATTTGAAAACACATAAATTCATTAGTACAAAATGCTACACAGAATTAAAACAGAGTGAGTGGGTGATGATGAAAATCTTTCTGAGGGGGTAACATATAACTTGAGATGTAATAACATGAAGGGCCTGTGTGTGTTAAGATGTGGAGGAAGAACCTTCTAGGCAAAGGCAAGCGGCTGGGGTGAAGACCATGGGTCACTGTGATTGGAGTGGAGAAACCCAAGGAAATCTAGAAAGAGATGAGATTAGAAAAGGAGTCACAAATTATATTGGCATGAAGGTCAGGTCAAGAGTTTACATTTTATTCTAAGTGCAATAGAGCCACTGATGGTTGAAGCATATGGTAGCATCATCAGGTTTATCACTGTGCTTTCTTTGTAGATAATGAAATGTAGAGGGGTTAAGAAGGAAACATTCAAGACTCATTAGAAGGCTTCTGCAATAGTCAAGGCAGATTAGACTAGGTTGGGAGTAATGAAGATGGAGATAATTGGAGGCGTTTGATTTGTCTAGGAGAATTGGTAGGACATGTTAAAATATTGGATGTGGTGCTTGTGATTCTTATGTTTTTGGCTGAAGCAGTTCAGTAGATGGTTATACTGTGACTGAGATGCATGAGGAGTAGAAATAGTAGTAATAATGAATTGTGATTTAAATGATAACACTTGGTATCATTAGACATCTGAATATAGGAATCTAGAATTTTAAAGAGAAGTTAAGGTTAAAGGTATGAATTTGGGTGTCATTGTGAATGATACACAA